GGTTTTGCTTATACCGAAATTCAAGCAATATTTAAAAGGTTTAGGACTAATTGCTTAAGATTAATTTAAATAAAATAACTCTGTTTATTTAATAGAATTATAAGTATTACTTATAAATTACTTTTCTCAAAACAGAATATCAAAAAAAGCACTTTTTGACTAAGGAAATAGAAAACCTCGAAGGAATTAGGGTCCTTTTGTATTACAATATATTTATTATAGAATAATCGAACTCTATTAAAGTTTAGATACCATAGTATTGTTTGCTATTGCAAGAGTTAACAAAACCCTAGAGTTCAGTCGAGAATAGAACTTAGATATATAGTCTGGTAGTATTTTGTGGTTGGTTATTCTAACCAATGGGGGGATGTTGGAAGTGCAGTCTAGGCTTATACAAGGTCACATATTTTAGTTCATATGATATTATATATATATATGTGTCTTATGTATTTATATATATATTCAATCCTATTAGAATATCTCTAAGGATACACATATATAATATTACTACTGTTATACCTATTATGATCTTAGTGATATTCCAACAATTATATCTATTATTTGTTTTATTACTAGGGTTGATATTCCGATAAGAATCTTGAAGGGGTTTCTCTTCTCTCCCATAACGTGAACTACAGTATTTCTTGGGGGCAACCCTTGGAGCCTTTCAAACAGCAACAACGACATTATATTCGTCAGCATCGTTTGGTACAATCGCACAATAGCTTACGTAGGGTATTCTGATGAGTTTCAATACGTTTGCGGTACTGCTTTTCAAAAATTTCGATTGCACACTGTTTCGTGTTTTCTTATTACTATAATTAGAATATATAAAATAGGACATTATATCGACTACGAGTAAGTTAATTAAGTTTAATTTCCAGCGATTTTATATACCTCCCGAAGAACCGCCTCCTCCCCTCCACCAATCTACCCATTTGTGCCAGCACTCAAGCCCAAACCTAAAGCTATATAAAACCCATGCAAAACCCATCAACAGACATACATTCTTTCCCTCCCTATCCATCAAAACTAAAGACTTGTAACCACACCACCAAATATATGCAAGAGCATAGCCTATATTCACACGCACCATGCATTCATTTAGATAGCACCACCCTGAAGAACCTCTCGACCTAAAACTTCCACCTCCCCGCTATCTACCGTTCGCCTCCTTTCCAAGACCCATCGCTCGCCATTCACCGGATCATCTTCCTTGGTATAGCTGATGGACTCCGCGCTCGGAGTGGATTGATGCTGTTTGGTATATGACGGTCTCCTAGCCTTCTCAGCTACTCCCTCGTGTTCGTTTCCCGACGATGAATCTCTCGTCTCCATAATCTTATGTCCCAATTCTGGGGACGATTTATTCGTGGTCAGGTTCCCCACGTGATCAACCTCACTTTCCACCTCCTCACTCACAAGATTAAACGCACTACCCTTCCTCCGATGTCCCCAAGGCGGCTGCGTAAGCGGTCCTCCAACCACAGGGCTACCACTTTCCTCAACACTCTTTGGACTACCATTTCCGTTCCCATTACTACCCAAACTCTTCACACTCGCCTGACTCCCACCCCATGCGCGACTTCTCAACTTCAATAATGCTTCCAAGCTCATATCCGACGCCCTTTCATAATCCTGCGCAATCATCAATTGTGCCAAGCCTGGACTAATCATCGGAGAGCCACCTGACGGCGCATGTAGATGGGATCCCAACATAAGGGAATTGCGGTTCGAATATTCCGAGCGCTCGGTGATAGGTGTGAGGTTAGGTTCTCGAGATGCGATTCTGCCGCTTTGATTTCGTATGATGCCATCCATTCCCGTAGGAACAAAATATCCACCATTTATATATTCTGCCGAGCTAACCGCAGGCTGCGAATAAAAGCCGAATTCCTGCCCATAAAACCCATCCGGATCGTTAGCTAGCGCTTCTGCATTAGCAGCAGCGATAAATTCATCGTCCTCTAATGCATCATCGTAATCAAAATCATCATCGTAAGATGGAGATATATGGTCATAGTGGGAAGAAGTCTGACCAGAATCTGTAATTAGGCCAGGTTGATTTTCTTCGCGATCCGAGTCGATGTGAAATACACTTTGCGTGCTATCACGGCGGAATTTACCGCTGGCTGCTGCACTGAAAGCAGCTGCTGCCAGAGAAGCTTGGTATGCAGCAAGTTTATCCTGCGTTAAACCTTGGGTTATTAATTGAGCCGGTGCCGCGGCTGAGGCCTTATTGTCCGAAAAGGATGGCTGTGGTGCTAAACCCCCAGTTGGGCGATTAGTCGTCGAAGATAGTTCTAGTAATAGTGCGTCTTCTTTCACTTCGTCTAATAAACCCGTAGAGCTGGTTGCCAACGTATCAGACGTTTCTGTAACCATGAATTGATCTTTTATAGGCCGCCCATATGGATCCGTATCATTGTTATCAAATACAGATTCGTCAAAACCGCCTGCATCCTCACCTTCATCCCCTCCCAGACCAATAATTCCATCATCAAAATATAGATCATCATCAGCATCGAGTCCTGACATATGAGGAAACGATGCCGACTTAGAGCTTTGCTGTTGTATGGTCTCTTCTCCTAATTCATCTGAAATTTCAGTGACTATACCAAGACCTTGAGGGTTCGATTCTGGGGCTCTGTGCTCTTCAAACAGCTTTTTGTCCGCAGAAGAGATATTACCATCGGGAGAGATCGGCGTAAGGACAGAATTAGGAGGGTTTGATGTAAGGTAGGGCGAATATTTGGTCAGAGCAAACCCAATAATCTGTCCGTTAGAATCCCGAGGCGTTGTCGCAGCTCCAGGAGTATATGGGCTCATCGGACTCGCAACGTGCGGTTGAAAGGTAAAGCCTGCGACATTACCATCCAGCAGACCTGCTTGCACTCCATCTTCAACGGGGAATATTTGTTCTATCTCTTGCTGTTCTTGTGTCACTTCTGTTTCTTCCAAGCTAGTAGTATTAATGCCCGGTATGCCTTCTTCATACCCACCATCAAACCCCTCAAAAATATCATCTTCATCATAATCAGCGTTAACACCCGGTATCCTTTCCTCCAAACCATCATCATCCATCATGTCATCATAATCAAAATCTTCGTCCTCGTCATGAATTTGTTGATCGTCGTTGTTGTCCGGATTATTCTTTTTCTCCAATGCCTTTTGACGATGTCTATCTTCAAGTAAACGCTCCTGTTCCGCAGCTCCTATCATGTCGAAACTGAACCTTGATGATGTACTCCTCATATGTTTTGGAACATTCTTTGCTGAAACATCCGATACATTTCGTGGCCGTCCACTCTGTCTTGATGACGGATATGACTTAGGTGGAGTCGCCACCGGATCAATTGATATACGTTTCGACTCAACTGGGACAGGAATTTCGACGTTCAGCGTTACCGGAGGCCCAATATCTGTGGATGAATTTTGTGCACTTAGCCTCCTCAGGTCTCCAACTTGGTTCTGCAACTCTTCGTTACCTTTCGAGGTCGAATTTTGATCCGCGGGTCTTCGACTTTCTCTTGCATACGGAGGTTTAGGTGCAGTGAGATCAGACAAGTCGTTAGTCTTCCGTACGTGAGGTCCCGCGGCAGGATACTGCTCCTCTTCAAAGTTCTCCGTGAACACCGGTGTATGATTCCCTGCTTTGTCACTCGTTGTCGAATCTGCATAAGGACTTCTTTGAAACGCTCTGGCCCCATCCACGGCACTGACATCGCTATAGGAGATATTTCGTCGCGGTCCTCTTGGAGCACTAAAGTCGTGTACAACGGTCCCTTTGATTCTAGGATCAAAATTGTCATTTGAGCTCAAGTTTGTAGTAAGTGATTCCGGTGTTAATTGAGGTATAGCTTGAGAGGTTCTCCGTCGAGCCAGGAGAGCCATGGGATTTAGCATCTTCAGCCTTGCTCTAGATGAGTGTGGAGGAGGCGCCTCGATCGGTGGGGAAGGATTTCGAGCACCCGTAGGCCGTCTCCCGGTAGATTTGATATCTGACTCTGGGATCATTGACCCAAGAAATTTCTTTGTGCTTGTCTCGTAGTTGGCGTTGGATTGTGACCTGGAATGGTCAAATCCAGTATTTTTCATAGAGCCTGTTCCCCCATTTCCCGCAGAATCAGGTCTCTGGTTGCTCGCATACGATGGTGATTTCTGGTTGATTCCAAATTCCGAACCTCCCTTTTGTCCATTATTGGTTTTCGCGTCCCAGTTCTGCCCTGTCGGATCATGGCCGTTGCTAGTTATCTTCCCAGAGAAACTCAAATTTTCAAATGTATTTCCATACCCCGCGCTTGAAACTCGTGCGATTGGAGGTAGAAATGGAGGAGAGGAACTCGATGATATTTCATATTCGTATTTAACGTCTTGGAGTCGTGTTGGATGTCCATGGTCCGTTGGACGCGCTCGAGGTTCGAAGGCAAGTACCTCTGGATTTGGGGATGAAGGGGTCGATGGGGTCGATGGGATGCGTCGGTGAGGCCGCAGATAAGAGAACATCCTGCGATTGGGGGGAGCGCATACAAGAAACACAGTCCAAGATTGGTTTTCGAGCAAATTCTCGAGTGTACCCTTATACTCTATTATTCAGTTTTTCCATACACATTTCATCGTCATTCGCATTGGTGTTTCAAGGCAAAGTCGTCAACGGGCCGCAGATGATAGTATTTCCTCGATTGAGTTGATTAGAGACTCATGTTACCTGGTCCTGGATACGTTGCTCAAAGTAGGTACCATAGAAGGATGAATTGAATTGAACTGAATGGTCAAGATTTTCGAGGTTGTGGTTCATTAATTTATAGTTACTGTAATAGGCTTCGTGACGTATTTTTCCATATAAGTTTTCGTTGAAGCTTATCTCACACTCATGGACCTGGACTTTCATTATCATACCTGGTATTTGTCGCAAACAGGATATATACATACTCGAGTACATATATACCTATAATTATATAATTATATATAAATATAAGAAATTGTACTCCTGAGACAAAAGATCTACGATAGCAACTGCAATCTCTTATAAAACTTGGATCCACTCTAAAAATAAACAACTAACGGTTATACCGATGTTACAGTAAAACGGATAGAACAATAGACCCCTGAAGCCGTGCTCTGTACCAAGTCCCATTGTGCATACTCTGTGTATTGAGCATCCTTTAGGTCCAAGGATCCACCGAATTTCTAGAAAAACCATGCGATTATGACTTTCTTTAACTGCTAATAACTAATATAACGTACATAAGCATCTCATCTTCCAAATCCCTCTATCGAATATGAATCTCGATAGGTTTTTAAAGCGGTTTCTACTTCATATCCCCATGTTGACGCCAGCCATAGTCTCCCGACCAATAACGCCCCTTTCGACAAGCCTATCGAAGCATCTCCATGTCCTTTAAACACCCTACCAATATCAATACAAGTCGAATTAATCCACATCCATTCCCGTATCGCTAATATCTCCCTCCGTTTCATCTCCACCAATCCCCAATAATGACTTCTCGATCATATCAAGATCATCATCGTCATCGTCGTTATCAGTCACCAGACCCAAGAGTTCCTTGTCTATATCATCAAGATCTTCATCCCCTCCTTCTTGTACGCTTGCATGTCCATTCGTCTGATGCTTCGATTGATAAATGATTGGCTGGTCTTGCTCGTCTTCGGTTTCATCGCTATCTCGCGCGCCGTGACCATTGATGCCGTTGATTGTCGAAACGCGATTAGTACCAATAACTCCAAGATTTAGTCCCTTTTGACCATCCCAACGGTCGAGTCTCCTCCCAACACGTCGGAAAGCAGCTGCATATGCTGACACTTCTTCTCCAAAATCATCTTCTTCAGTTTCCAACTGAATTAGACCACCAAATCCTCGTTCTTTGAAGGGGTAGGTATTCCTAGGATGGGTCTCGCCCTCGCTGTCGCTAAATGGATCTATCGTCGCTTCCGTCCTCTTATATGCACGAATAAAAGCGCCTTCCCGCTTGCGTAACTTTCTCGCCGAATGATGCGCCTTTCTAATGCCCCGGCTTAAAACGTAATCGACTCGCTGGTTCCTGTTCCTCTCTACTGCAATCTGATGCGCTGTAAGTGGTCGATGTCGTCTCGCAAGTGTAGCTGGTATCTCCGGCGCTGGAGAAGACTCTTCACCATTCCTAACGCCTCGGTTTCTCGAACCTGCATTAAGAACACTGTTAATACGCATGTTGCTGGCACCAAAAGCTCGAGGGGGCGGGGTGGAGCGTGTGCTGTCGAGATCAGACTCGTATCTGGGGCGAACCTTACTAATCAAACCACCAGGAGTTCCAATCACATCATCATAACGAGGTCGAACACGACTCATAATAGCAGATGAACTGGGACCATCATCGGGGGGTAAATTCAGCTTCGGCTTGGGACCACGTTTTGGCGGTCCGTGTTCTGCTTGAAAGGCGATTTGGTCTGCTTCGATAATTCGTTTACGTTCGCGCATTTTGGATTGACCGTACTCTAACTCTTCTTCTGTATCGACGTTCTCCAGTACTTCCTCCTCTTCTGTCATATCTTGTAAACGCGGAACCCCTTGATTTCTGACGTCAGTGTGATAATCAACACCGGATCCAAAGGGATTCTCGTCTGCCCCTTCTTCTGTAAAATCAGACTCAAGATAGAACCACATCAACCATAAGAATGCCTTCGCCCTCGACTTGCTGGTGATCTGAGTATTCATGATGAGGTCAAAAAATTCACGGGTTGTAGGGAAGTGTAATTCTGTAACCTTCGAGGCAAATGAAGCAAGAACAAAGATAAGATTGACTGGGTTTGTGCGAGGTATCGGCGTTGTCTTGAACTTCTCCAAAGCACTAGGTTCAGGCCGATCCTCAGATGCCCCCTTCAGTATAGATTTGAGTCGAGGTGCATCCTGAAGCTGCTTGTAGGAGTTTGGGTCTTGTCGAGCTTGTAAAGATGGAATGGCGTGGTAGGTACGAAGTTGTGCTCGCATTTCTGGGAAAACTGAGACCTTGTTAGTATGCGAATATGTCGAGAAGACAAGTACTCACAATTCAGAGTGGTGTTCATGCGACCAAGATTGACCAAAAGGCACACCATTGCCATATTTTTGGCTGGTTCATGTTCGCTCAGCAGTTTATCCCTCAAGATCTTACTCGTCTTACTACTCCTAGCCATCGCATCGATATAGAGGTCTGCGAAGGTCTGCTTCGGTATGGAGTCATCGTAACTATTAGTAAATACGGCGTTCTCGTCTTCAAATATGAGTTTCAGAAAATCGTATTGGATATCCTTTCTCCACAAAGGCTCTCCGTCATCCTTTTTCAGATGGCGGATTTTATTGTTTTGTGGCCCAAGATTTCCTTGCATTGTAATGGGTTGATCTTTGGTAGATTTACGTGCGCGCACCGTATTTCCAACCGGTGTATTTGTAGGATTTTCAGAGACGGGGCTTATACGTTCCTCACCTTCATTTGGTGTATCGTTGGTTTGTTTCGTCGTCATGAATGGAGCGTTCTGAGCTAAGTCGGTGTTGTTGCTATCATTTTTTGGGGACAAGGCTTTGAAGTTTGCTTGAGTTGGTGATACATTATTGTTCTTGTCGGAAGTGACAGTGATGACTGAATTTAGTGAGTCTGCCATTCTTTTCGTCGCCACTGTATAAAACCGAGTGGCAATCACAATCACATCAAAGAAGAGTGATGATGGATTGATTCGTTATTCAAAATCAATTCAATCCATTTTGAGCTCAATTATGATTAAAATTAATTGTAGCTAGAAATGATATGTGTTGGATTAAAAAAAAATAGGAATATTGATGTATTGATATATTGATGATGTATTGATGAAAGAATTGGAATTGGAATTGAAATTGAAATTGACGAAACTTATTCTAAATTGAAGCTTCTCACAATTCTATACTTATGGTCTACATTTTGGGTAGAAAGATTGGCTATGGAGTATTTACAGTACTGCCAATCTATCTAAGAACCTTGGATAAATAAGTATTCCAGTTATTATTATCCAAGCTAGTTGAATTAGATTGACATTTGGACAATTTGTGGCTGATGCTTGTGATTGACAGTATATGAACAAACTTTGTAGGTCACCGTATTATAATAATATGAATGCTCTTTCTCCTTCATCAATACCTCTCTTAATATTTAAATATAATAATCTTTATGAAAGATTGGTATCTAAATCTTTTAATTGTTGATCATTTCACATTGGGTTATACTTTTGGCTATCTATTCTCCAATTAGATGTTCCTTTATGATCTGAATAAACAATAATGGAATATCAAATCTCGGCCTGCTTTTTAGTTCATTGTAGGCTACTTTAACTACTCGTAATTGAAAAGAACACACCAGGTCTAGCCCCGCCTGACACTTTTCCCAGAGCAGTGATCCTTTACAGTGCCTTTACAGTGGGAATTTGATGTACTAGGACACTACCAGGTAGATGGATGCAGATGATCTGGCATACGATCGAACTAACCGGCATCCTATGCACCTACCACACTCTGGCGTTTGGTATATACCCTTACCATACACGCCTTACCATTCATTTATCCATCAACTGAAAATCCCGTATCTTGGTATACCAATGTACTCACTCACGTATGTATTGTATGCCAACGCACCATCACCCAACCGATCCCTCTCACCAGCCATCCTCTGGGGAAGACTGCTGAATATATAGATATAGGTGATGGGAGGAAGATTCAGAGGACGAGAACTGCCGGTAAGCATTCATTCATTCCATCTCGTACATTTTCCTATCTAGAATGCTTATCTAAGGAAAAGACATTCGGGCTGAGTGAGAAGCGTTAAAATACATCATTATTCCCGTCATGCTATAACCATAGCTATCTGAAATGTAACCAAATACAGCCTCGGACGTTTTAAATCCCCCCACCAATCCTGGGGGAAAGTGGCTGGTCAGATTTCACCACAACATCCCCTTCTATCAGACTTCCTTGTCTCCACAGGTTCCGCAAACTCCACAGGGGTAGTAGTCATCGTCTGGTACCAGCTTGCGTGCCTGTAAATGGTTCGATATATTAGATTTACTTTCAAGGCAGGCCATGCGGTAGCTTCATCAGAGGTTAATCTCACAAATGTCATGTTGTGGTCATGTCTTTTTTATTCAAGTGAATTTTCTATGAAAGTTACATATTGAGCTGAATCTATGTATCTAACTCTGGGATATTGGACCCGCGCGAAAGTAAGCAGCATAGAATATAAGAAATCTGGTATTACATGAAAACAGGCAGCCATAAATTTTTGCTGAAAAACAAATGGTCGAAACTGAAATAAAAGGAAAATAGTAAGGAATTGTGTAAGTGTAATGAAACAGGGGCTTGGTATCATTAAAACTCTCCTCATTTTCGTTGCTGTCCGCCGTCTATATCGATAAAAGATAATGTCTTGAATGAAAGTCGAGAAGAAGTAAAAGAAAAGGTCTAAAGATGATAGTCCAGGCCATAGCAGCAGCCCAGAAAATTGTGTTAAGGTCGTGAAAATATAATTAGGCCGTTTCGTATCAGCATATCGTCATGACTTTTGCTCAATGGTCAGTCGAGTCATAATGGTTTGATCAATAACCAGAAGTTCCACTACCGCTACCAGCTGCACTTCCATAATCGTAGTAGGCTTGATCGTCCTCGTACGGTGCTGCTTCTCCTCCGTGATAAGTTTCTCCTTCACGAGCCGCGTCGGGATTTTGATAGTAGATTGCCTCATTCTCCGGTCGACATCCATGTCTAGATGCATCCTCTTTAGCTCTACCCTTCGAAACGACGTGCTTCATAGAGACGGAACCCCATGGCGAACCGGTAGCATCAGCATTGTCGTAGTATACATCATTTGGATCAGCTGTGTGGTAAGAATGGCCGGCGTGGGCATTATTCTCTTGATCTCGATCCTGGCGCTCCTTGTCCGCCTTGGTCTTATCCCCTATGAGATGTTAGTTGCTTGTTAAAATTAAAATAGCACAATGGCAACTTACGGAACTTCTTCTGTGCTAATCGGTTTTGTACTCTTCTCCTCTCTTCCAGATCCGTGATGCCAGACCAATCATCTTGCTTTGGCTTTGACTTTCCAGAGCTCTTTTCCTTGCCAGATGAAGATCGGTGTGAGGAAGACATTTCAGTTTCGGTTTCAGATGCTAACTCGAGATTTGCCTCTAGTTTGATAACTTGATTGTGGTCCGGGTCCTCGACTATGATGCAAGGAACTTTGAATGCTCGTTCTGGTCTAGCAGGGGGGTTCGATATGCTCAGATTCGTAGTTGTCGGCCCTTTCAACGTTCAGACAATGACTTGTTGTGTAGGATATGGTAGTGTACTGACATCAACAGTGGAGCTTGACACTTCCGCCGAGATCTCTCTGAATTTGATTTCAAATTTCTGTATTTGAAAATGGCGAGAGTGCTCTTGAGGATGGTTTGAGTGCTGGAAATGCGAGATACTTCAAAAAAACGAGCAACGATGTAGATACAGATGCTGAAGTGCTCTTCTTTATCAAGGAAAGATGATTGATGGTGATGTTGAGCTGATTCAAGGGAAACTTCCCTACTTTATAGAAGCTAAACGGCGGCACGGAGGGCAGACTTGATCATCTTTTTGAATATCAAGAAGATATATAAAGATCCCCAAGAATCCACATAAGCATATATGCAAGAAACCGCAGACCAAGAGTGGATGGAACATCGAATAGGGGCACTGCCTCCAGACGGATCAGGTATATTACCGCCACGGAAACGTGACTGTCTATAGGTAAATAAGAGTAAAATATGACTGAATGAAATATCGAAAAGTTTCCCGTTCCTCTAAGGCAGCCTCGCCTAAATTGAACGACGACATGATTCAATGATTGGACTAAGTATACATGTGACCTAGCAGAAAGGAACTCCTCCAAATACAGGAAGGAGAGGGGAGGATGGTGGATCTTAGATAGCTAGGATCATGATGATAGTGGAGCTCAAAATCGATGAGATAATGGCCTTACGGTGTGATGGGGGCCATCCATTTCAGAGGAAGATGGGGGAGGGATTGACTGGAATCCTTCATCGCGGTATTACCGTTTTCGATCGTTTTAAATCGAAGTATCCAATAGTCGAGTGTGAATTGGATTCTATTTCGCTGTACTGAGTAAATACCGAGAATAAGTTATAATTGGGAGTCAAAATGTAGAGAGGATCCAGTAATTGCGCAGATGTTCAGGCAGAGATATGGCTTCAGTTCCTGCATAGGCTTGAATCTTAGGCTTGTCTAGGCCTGAGGATCTATTCATGGAGAGATCAGGCAGGCAGACGAGTCCCTAAAGAAATCTCATTAGTGAACAGATCAATCAATTACTTTCCGTCTAATTCGTTATATTGAGTATATTCAGTACAATGATTCTGTAAATGAAGTATCCATATATGCCTTACTGAATTTAGAAGTCTGAGAACGCCGGCGATGCTACAAGAATGCTTGTTGATATCCAGGTTGAGGTACCAATATCCATCTAATTAGAGTGGGGTACGACAAAACATCGGGCGAGAAATGTCGAGAAGCCTTGCTGTGCCTAAGGGACGCATATTGTACATGTTCGCGTCCTTTCCTCCTGCGCGAGATTGACGACCTTGAGCTTGAATAATAGGAATGGGAATGGCCGGCTTGAATTGGCTGATATTTGGCTGATATTTGGCTGATATTGGCTTAGTGATATGATCTGATCTTTCCTGATGGGTTTCAGATGTTCCCGAGTTCTCTATTGCGAGTCCCGGCTGCTGGGTTAATCTACCGTCACCTCATCCCATCCCAAGCTTGGAGTCTAGCTAGTGGCTGGTTCGTTCTGCAAAACGAATGTGAGAGGGTTATGTTATGCGTGGATTGATTCATGGGGTTGACAATTTCGACGTGCAGGACTCGTTAGCGAAATAAGTGATCTGGAGGAAAGATCCTCCGGCCTTCCAGGAAATTTCCCTGCACAGCCAGGTCCTGTAGTCATCCACAATCAAGATCTCAACCATTACCTCTTCATCATCGTATGCTAAAGAAGAATAATCTCGAGAATTTAGAGCAATGGGCACAATTCATCAAAAGGTAGTATCGGGCCATTTCACGCGATGGCTAAAATGGGAGAAGTACGAGGGAGGGAGCACGAACGAGCCTACGAGAGCTGCATTCGGAAATTGGTAAAATAAGGACCATATATCCCGTTTCCGTACGAGGTAAGGAATGCCAGATCCCCGAGCTTTCTTGATGCGATTAGTATAAGGAAAGACATTGCCAGATATCTGTAACAGTAGACTCTACCTTTATAGAGATGTTTCGGCCAAGGGCTGACGGGAGTGGCGTTAAATTGACGTCTACGCCGCGAAACTGTAATTTCACGTGGCCCTGGAGCCGACCTCGCCCATGTAGACTACCAATCACAATTCAAGGTTCGAGTTTAAATCTAACCTCAATATACTCTGAATTGATCTGCAGCCTCGCAAAACACATCTCCTGAACACCATGACATGTGGATGGAGATCCCAGGAAGTATCACAGCAGAGCCACCTCCTCCCCATGCATGCCTCACACAGCCTTGAATATAATCTTACATCAACGACAAGCTTGTCAATCTATTCATCTCTTATCTGGCCGCACGTTTCTCTTCTCCTCTCATCTTTGCTCGAACTTCGGCCTGCCTTCTTTCGCCACCATCAATCTTGTGACCTCGGCGATCTTCCCACAATCCTTCTTCAATAACAATTTTTGCCATAATTCCTCCTTTGGAAGGTTTCACATGAGGTCCGGTGATAGTATGTGCTCCCTTGATACGCAGACCCTGAACTGGGACCATCTTCCCGGCCAAGTTATTCTCTGCACTGCCTTCTATAGGCACATTGACAATGATTTTTTGCTGCCCCGCGGAGGATGTTGCAGTAGCTGTACTGTGTCTCGGATTTGATGATGGCACTTCAACTACACGTAGCTGTGCAACTCCGTTTTCGATATGTTGAAGATCTCCACCAATGCCGTACTGCCCTTTTCTAAATTTCTCGCGCCAGCGTAAAAGGTAGCGTCGAGTCCGTGGAGGCTCAACTCCCAGCTCTCGTAATTGATCAGAGGTCAACGTAAACAATGCCCTCCAAGAAGGAATCTTCGATATATGCTGGCTCAAATTTCGTCCAATGAGTGTCAGAAATGTTTGAGCATTTGGTACAAATGGTGTAGGGCGGGGTATAGGCGGTGCCTTCATGCGATAGTGCAGACTTCGTACTCGAGTACCAGCGGTTGACTCCGTGAACGGGAGGAGAAATGAGGGAATCGATCGTAGTTGGTAAGGCTTGATAATCATGATGGGCAGCTTCTACAAGAAGAAGTCAATATGGTTCCATCTCGCACAACTGGACTGATCTGCCAAAGGATAGAGGGAAGAATAAAATACACATACGGAAATGGCAGAACGATAAATTATAAAACGAGTTCCCGAAGGTCAAGGTATTGCTACCGAAAGCTGCATGGGATTTTGTGTTCAATTTATTGCGTCAACGTGTGTCAACTTGTGTCAACCATTAGAAGGCTGTAACGGTACCAATAATCTCAGGATGGATCTACTAAACTGCCTCGCAATTCGATTTTGACCTTAGCGTTTGTTCGGTGAATATTTGATCATGTGATATTCGGAATAGGGTATATCCGAGATGAGTAATCAATTCGAAAGAACGTGTGTTTTGCAATTGAGTCTAGTGTGTGCGACTTACATCGTCGTTGATTAATAAAATACTTACCTATTAGGCTAGTACAGTACCTAGTAGACCTCTATAAGAGTTCGCTGAAGAGCAAAAACCCTGGAAGTGGGTTAATATCCATACGCTAGACAGACTACCGGTACTCTTATTGGTTATCACAAGCGCTAGGTACATGCTAAGTACTTCCTTCACCTACCTCGTAGTTTGTCCATTACATCGAGTACTTATTTCTCCCTTCACTTCCCTTTTCCACATACAATACCGGAAACAAAAAATGGTAACAGTGCATGGTGTATCTGTCACCCTACTTATCAAAATAATAAGATATCTACTATTGTCAATCTCTCACCTCCTTTCTTCACCTCCATTAAACGAGGCAACCTCCTGCAGTTCCGGGCTTGTCTGCTGCCAACCTCTGTAGAAAAATACACACATCTCTTGGAGAAGAGATACGGTTCGGAGAATTGATACAATCCGATGACTCCAATCCAATCGCCTCCTTATCGGAAAAGGAAGTTCGGAATCATTCCCAATGACTATATCGAGTTAGGAGCACGAAGAACTGATGTTGAAGATTGTGGTGATGAGGAGGAGGACGCGGCTGCCCATGATGATGAGGTGCAGTCATCCCCACCACTTCCCAGCTCAGAGGATGAAGCTCTGTCGTCTTTCATAACCGTTATTCCCGACGCATTGCTCGATTTTCTTACTGTGAATGAGGTACATGAGGTAAGTATTATTATAGGCCACATTCAATTATTGGAATAAAAAAATTGGATTTCCTCGTTGATGTTTAGGGGCGCTAACTCCAGGTTCTAGAACACGACGCAAGAACCCCTACCGAAGCGGCTCAAATCAAAGATAGGACCTGAATTGGAACAATCAAATGATCATCGTTCGGACGACTATATCGTCGTTAAGCAATCTTCGTTGGAAATCAGATGTGCTGAATCAAAGTTGTTCTCGAATGGCACCATCTTGAGTAAGCAGAAAGCCCGGTTCAACTGTCACTGGAGTCTACAAAGTGAGAAACCCGAGCCGTCTCATATCACAATACAAGATGACAACGGCAACCCTTTGCTTACCGTACCATTATCGCTCGAGTATGCATTGATGAGCATTCTGAATCCCTTTGATGACGTCCTCATCTGTCTATTGGTTGATCGAGACTCTAAAAAATATGCCCGACAATCAAGTAAGTTGTGGACAGAGGTTGGGATAAGTCTGCAAAGAAGAGACGATTCGGATTACATACAAATCATTTTCACTATCAAATGGGACGTTACAGTTCACCCCGAGTCAATTCAACCCAAGAAGACAGATGCCTTATTAAAGGTATTGAGCGCTTATTTTCCTGATCCAAATGGCACGAATTTAGATTCACTCTCTGCCCAGGATTTCTATCAATCTGCATATTCTCCAGATCCAAATGATGAATTAGCGGCCTCGATTGAAACCCCCGAATTGCAAGCAACCCTCTACCCATTCCAAAAGCGGGCAGTTCAATGGCTGCTTCGTAGAGAAGGTTATGAGTGGTCCCGCGAGACCAGAAGTGTTCAGGGATCGCAGTTCAAAGCAACATGCCAATTGCCACTCTCATTTATCGCAGCAACAGACGCACAAGGGCGCTCTTGTTATGTCAGTCACTTGTTTGGGATAGTTACCTTCGATCTTGCTCCTTTCCTTGCAATAGAACGAGAGATCAAAGGCGGTATTCTTGCAGAGGAGATGGGCCTGGGTAAGACTATAGAAACGATTGCTCTATTAACACTTCACACCCGTCCTAATCAAGGTCCGTCGATCTTCGATCCCTTTACCGGGGAGAATCTACAGACAACAAATGCTACACTAATAATATCGCCACCGTCTATTTCAAGTGAGTATCGAATCAAAACTGCTATCATATCACTTGATGACAATATTTAGGACAGTGGATCGGCGAGATCAAAACCCATGCTCCCCATCTAAAGGTTACGTATTACGAAGGTATCAAGAGCCGGAACGTGCACTACGCAACAATAATGGAAGAGTTTGCCACCTCAAATGTAGTCGTTACCACATACGCCGTACTTTCATCGGAGATCAATTTTACCAGTCTGAACCCCGGGAGAACGTTGCGCAGGGAGTCGAAGTACCAAAGGACTAAATCGCCTTTGATGCAATTTTCCTGGTGGCGAGTATGCCTTGACGAAGCACAAATGGTTGAGAGTGGTGTAGGTAAAGCTGCGACTGTCGCAAGAATGATACCTCGAATCAACGCTTGGGCGATCACAGGCACTCCAGTATGTATTCCTACTTGTTAACTGCTGCTTGTAGATTCATCTGCTCTTTTTTACCGGGTTTCCAATGGTCCCGACTACAGTCCAGACCTAAGACAATCGAAAGCTTACAGTATTTAAAACGCTGCGAAGCCTTAAACAAAACTCAATAATTTGACTGTACTTGAAATCCCAAATGGATTCAATGTATCAGATTACTTGGGTGTATAAGAGAAGTTTAACAATATTGAGCCCTTTATTGTCGGATTGCAATGTGGACCATTGGAAACCCTGAAACCCTGCTCTTTCGCTTACGCAAGGGGCTGGTATATACTTACTCTGGTATAGGTTACAAAGAACATTGATGACTTGCTAGGGTTACTCATTTTCCTAAGATATGAGCCCTTAATAACGGTATGGCGATCGCTTCTGTCCTCGCCATATTTTCGAGGACTATTCAACAGTATAAGCCTTTCAAACCGGAAGAAGGATGTAAGGGGAGAACTGGACCTACCCCAACAACACCGCTTCGTAATTACCTTGCCTTTCACTCCAATTGAGGAACAATATTACCAGGAATTGTTTGGCCAAATGTGTGAAGAATCGGGATTGAGCACTGAGGGTGCACCTCTGACGGACGACTGGGACCCAGAGGGTTATACCGAAGTAATGAGACGCTGGCTCGTACGTTTAAGACAAATAGCATTGCACCCGGAAGTTGGAGGGCGCAATAAACTAACTTTCAGGCGAAACAAAGAGGGAGATGAGCCAGTTACCCAAACCGCAATCAAGGTTCTCGAACACATGTTCTCACAAACAGATGTTGCCATCAGAACAAATCATCGATTACTTCTTATGTCCCAGTTGAAAAGGGGGCAATTGTATGAAGACTCACCTCGGGTTCAAGAAGCCCTCAACATCTGGGAAGCAGTAATTATAGAGTCCTCTATCGCTGTGAATGAAGCTCGGGATGAATTATCAAGTGAAATATTATCGGAAAAAGCGAAGCTGGCCTCCCATGCAGAGGAAATTTCAGATTCGGCAATAGCGAAAGCTGATCAGACGATTGCTACAAGCCAAAACCAAGGGTCGGGAAGACACAGTGACCATGGCATCGACGGACAAGATGGGTGAGTACTTTTATAATCATCTTTTGAATGCTCTAACACATATTTATTCAGATCGGACCCTGCCTCTCGCGTAGGACTCGTTCGAGCACGGTTAAGGGCCGCTTTGGAACTTCACCATATGGCGTTATTCTTTCGAGCGAATGCCCACTTCCAGATTAAGACTAACGAGGAAATGACAAAGCCTGATTCTCCCGAGTTTGAAGATCTTGATAGAATCGAGAGAGATGGCTATGAAGCAGCCAAGAAATTACGACGCGAGATATTGCAGGAGGTACGTGTGTTTTTCACTCAATGACATTTCTAATATTAGTGATTAAACTTTCAAGTTTCGTGCTTGTATGGTTTTCCAAATAAATTACGAAAAACGGATCCCACAATCCAGATCAGACACCTTCTATCAAACAATATGGAGATACAGAGGCTAATAAAAAACAGATGTTTAACAGAGTAAACACTATGATGTCCACAATCAAAAGAAACGCAGAATCTGGGACAGTTATTCGATTGCTTAAATTCACACCCAATACTCTTCAGGGGGGGGCCGAAAGCCGCCGTATTATGGAAAAGTAAGCCACGAATATTTATGTTTCTCCCCAATCCAATAATTCAAACACATATATATCCCCTAGAACTTCATGCATCATACCCATATACTAACCATTCCTGGGTAGCCTTGAAAATCTTGGAATCAATCTGGATAATCAAGCCCATCAGATTCATGAATGGAGAGACCATCTCACTCGGATTTTGTTGAGTTCCTTGGTTGATAACGACGATGATGGAATTGAAATCAATGGAGACGAATACGAGGATTCTACAAAAGTACAAGAAGAAGCGGTGGTATATGTACAAGCATTGCGGACAATGATTGCCGACAGACATGCATCGTTGACTGGAGTGCGTAATTTTCTAACCGACCAAGAAGCGATAACCGCTGTACGGGAGGCAAAACTGGGCAAAGGCCCTTCTCCGGAACGACTAATTGCGCTCTTCGATGAAAGGAACCAGTTCATTTATGAGGGCAATACTGTAAGGGGTGCTTTGTCGGAACTCCGAACCCTCATGTCCAATCTCAGGAAAGATCGTGCACGAAATGAAACATTGATTGTCGAAGCCCAACTCAAGATGACTCACAAGTATCTCACGGATCAGACGAAGGCCGCTACGGGGCTAGAGAAGGAAGTAGAGCTTTTCACAAAGTGTATGAACCTTCGGGTTGAGTACTATAAACAACTACAGGCAATTTCAAATCAGGTGGCTCCGTATACAGGTCCCAACAATGAGCTAGTCGTTGAGAAGATGCTACAAACCGAGCAGGCACTTATCCAGAGCCTCGCGGTGATGAGATCCAAGAAAAGATATTTGATTCATCTAAAGGAAGAGGCCAAAACGCCTAAATATCAGCGAGTGTGCATCATTTGCAGAGATGAATTCGATCTTGGAGTTTTGACCGTCTGCGGGCATCAATTCTGTTCCGATTGTATCAAAGAATGGTGGAGATGTAAGAGCTCAGTCTAATCTAAGTGTCACATACATTTACTAACCCACCAAAGCACATCATAAATGTCCTGTCTGTAAAAGGGCACTAATCCATGCAGACCTTCACAATATCACCTACAAACCACAAGAACCAACACTGACCGTCGAAGCCCAGGGGGTTAGGGAACCACTCAAGGAACGCTCACCTAACTCTAATTCCCCTCGGAAATCTGCAATTTATTCAGATGTCAGCAAAGCTACTCTCGCCGCCATCAAGAACGTCGAACTGCCAGGCAATAACTCATTTGGCACCAAAGTTGATACCCTTGGTATGTACGCATTGATTCCACTTAACAAAATACCACTAATCATTTTCCAAAAAAAGCTCGTCACATTCTTTACCTCAGGGAATCAGATCCTGGCTCGAAGTCAATCGTCTATTCTCAATTCGCGGATTTTTTATTGGTTTTGTCTCGCGCCTTTGCTGTATTTCGCATCGGCCATTCATCCATCGGTAATTCTAATGGAATCGAGAAATTCAAAAATGATGCTGGCACAGAAGTTTTCCTGTTACATTCTCGGGCGCACAGTGCGGGATTGACTCTTGTCAACGCTAGTCACGTATTCCTCTGCGAACCTTTATTAAACACAGGACTCGAACTGCAAGCTATCGCTAGAGTTGATAGAATCGGCCAAACAGTCGCAACCAATGTTTGGCTGTATTTAATTCGTGGAACGATTGAAGAGTCAATCCATGAGTTATCTGTCAAGAGACGCTTAGAGCATCTGGGACAGGCAGTCGGATCAAAAAAGGGAAAGGGGAGCGCACTTTCGGATGAAGAGTTGGTAGCAAATGGTCTGGAAGAGGCTAATAGTCTAGAGTTGCAGAAAACAATACTGGCGAAGCTCTTAGCTAAAGGTCAGGGCGGTGAAGTCGTTTCCGAAAACGATCTTTGGGCTTGTTTGTTTGGTGGAAGAACGAAACGTGGGACGGTAGATCTTAATAACGGTAATGCGAAGGAAGAATCGGTCGACACAGTGAACCTTTAATGGCGGTAGTGCGAAGGAAGATTCTGAAGATTCTGGAGATCCTGGAGAATCTGGAGAATCTGAAGGTACGGTCGACACAGCCTAATGGTATTGGTACAATGGATGATCCGGTCATAATTGAGTAGACCACGAAAAAGGCGTTCTTCATGATGGGAAATTCTATATGGTGGGGGCTTTCTGGCGGGTATTGGAGTAATCGTGGGTGGTTGCGAAGCCATGAGAGTTGCCATGAATGGAATTGGGGTGTCATTCGGGACACATCACACATGTAGACATATTGACAATGAGCCACAAATGCTATGCCAGGGGTTTAGGATTTGGGGTGCATATATTATACACACTAGAGAGAGAGCTACGGTTCGAGACCTCTCAAGGAGGATAGTGAAAGGATAGGCTTGCATCTGCGGTCCACATCGCTGAATTCATCATTGAATCGATATCAGAATATTACTTTTTCAAAAGTTTAATTATAATAGGAAGCAATGGTTTCATATTTCCTATTGGACTCATAAGGTAGCCAGATCTTTACAGTAGGTATGTGTGTGTAACCAGGTAGTTTCATTTCATCGTATTGACTAACTGAGGACTCGTATAATCGAAAACATTTCTACTACTATCTATACGAGAGTTTTAGTTTTGATTTATGGTTTATGATTCACAGGGAGATGGATTTTCATGGCTGTAGCATATATATATACATACGAGTAGAAGCTCAAATTGAAGAATTGAAAGATCACATATTTACAAATCCCCGTTTAATGCTATTTGAGAAATGCTATTTGAGAAAGTAATTGTTGAATCCATCTCGTTTGATTGAAACTCCTTATTGAAGTATCTACTCGAGTACTACTGTATATCCTCCAACAGCAGAGCATAATCTCTCAACATTAATTTTCAAGCTCATTGAGAATGAAATTCAGGATCTATAGTAAAACACAAGACTGTATATTTGTAAAGAATATTCATAAAAATCAGTCCTCTAAATTCGCTAATGTCACGGTGTCATTGTCCGTTCCTCTATCTACATAAAGAAGAAGGCATACCATACCATCCCATCCCATCAAACACCGAATTTCTCTCTATATTCCCCCAAGATCTTCAGTGAGATATTGCTTCCTCCACAAACTACAATCACTACGTTCTTCTCCTCGATACTTTGTCCGTCTTCCTCTAGTACCTCCTTTAAGATCCCGTTAATGGCTACTGCGACACTTACGCCGCATGCGCTTTCTACTAGTACTGTATGGTGAGGGGAGAGTCAGTAAATGCCTTTTGATAAAATATTTTAAAGGAAAGTTGAAGAGAGTTATTGGAAACATGAGAGCAGGGGTTGAGATCTAGGAAATGAATCAGGTGTTATAGAGTATGGATCGTGCAAATATAAACTTACTTCTCTCCTCATCCGCCATCCACACCATGCCTTTGACACTCTCCGCATCTCCCAAAACCACACTCCTCACATTCTTCCTATACTTCAATCCCCACTCCAACGACTTAGCCGCCACCTGCGTGGCCCCCAACGACGTCGCAATACTATCGATGCCATCCAACCTCACCAATTCGCCGCTCTTCATCGCCGCATGAAAACTAGCCGTTCCCTCTGTCTCCACCGCTATAACCTTCGTTCCCTGATAACCCAATCGACCGCTATCATACAAACCCTGCATAATGCCATTAAACAGCCCTCCACCCCCTACACTACAAACCAGTGCATCCAAACTGTTAATCCCCAATCCGCGCACCTCTTCTTCGATTTCCGTCACTACACCTCTATTTCCCTCCCAAATATCCGCGTGGTCAAAGGGTGGTACGTAGACACCTGTGCTATCATTCGCTAACAGCTCTTCGCGTAAATATCTATCGGCTTCGCTCCAGTGGTTTCCGGTTTGCACGACCTCGGCGTGGAGTAGTTTGATCTTGGATATCATGTGGGCGGAGGTGAGCATGGGGACCACGATGGTACAGGGACGATTGAGGGAGAGGGCGGCGTGGGCGCAGGCGAGTCCGGCGTTGCCGCCAGAGGAACAGTAGAAGTGGACGGGGGTGTGGGGAGAGGCGGGGAGGGAGCGTAGGAGAAGATTGCCGATGCCCCGGGATTTGAAGGAGCCGGAGGGTTCTGGGAGTGTGTTAGTATGTAGGTTTTGTGGGAGGGAGGGGTATAGTGGTGAGGGGGGAAATGAGATGAGATGAGATGGTAAGAAATATGATAAACGCGCGAAAATGGAACTGCGTCATATAACCCAACAACCAAAATAAAACATAAAACCAGAAAATACATACGTAAATTCTCCAATTTAAGCCAAACATTACTATACTCCATATCAGCCCATATCCACATATCCATATCCCCCATAAACTCCCTCCAAGAGAAAACTCACCAACCAGCTTCCCTCGACAAAGCCGCCGATCTCACCAACGGAGTTTTAATCCAAGGCAACGAGACCGGTATCTGATCCTCTCCCATTCCCTTTGTACCTGTTATCGGAGTTGTTGAACCCATTTCGTTCGTACTCGTGTATATGTTTTGCGCTTGCGTTTTGCGTTTGTGAAGATTTATTCTTCTACCTTTGACTTCTGGATTGTCTACCGGTTGGTTATGGTATGTGTGTGTGTATGTGTGTATCTGGCAAGAGACTATCTTGACAACTTGAATAAAATTAACACTTGTTTGTAATTTGTTATTTGTAACTTGTAACTTGTAACTTGTAACTTGTAAGTTCCAGCAACCAGAAAAGTGCATCCCCCAACCCTTTATATAAGTAATTACTCGCTTCCTAATCTACTGTACCATACATAGGTACTGTATTATACATCCTCTCACCTCATTTCATCTTTCCCACCCCATCAAATTAACCCCATACATCTAGAGCCCAATATAGATAACGAATCCCGCACAAAAAGCTTCTTTTAAGTATCTTTCTTTACCTTTCACCATCCATCCACGCTACTCGTATATCATACTGCATTTCGTATCAACATCGGGAATATAATCCTTCTACATACACATCCATCTAAAACATCCGACATGCCATGCACGCCCTTCCGAACCATCTAACCTAATCAACTAAGTAATCATCTAATCCCCATTTGCCGAGTCGTCAACTAGGTATATCACTGGACCCTTTACTCGCTCCTCCAGGGGAAAACCGACTATTATAAGCGGGGATTCCATTTAGACCATTCAATCTACTCGAGTATCTCATTCAAACAAGTTAACAACATCGCTAATCCAATCTATAGGGTAATAAAATCCAATAACTCAACGGCACTCATCCCTCTCAAACCCAAGCTTCATGATCAGCAGGCTGCAGCAGATATATACGAGTACACGTGGATACTTATAGGGTAATATCTACTGATTCTGTATTGAAGAGGAAAGTTATAGGGTAATGTAATGCAATATTAATCGGAGATCGGTTATCGGTTTGATAAGGGGAAGGGAAGGAATAGGTTATAGGGTAATATGGGGATTGTTATAGGGTAATGGGATGTTAGTGGCTTTGATTTGGTGGATGCAGTGTACTTACTGCAATGAAGGTGGTGCGAAATGCGGGGTGGACCATGGGAGTAAGCTACTCAGCTACCTTATCCTCGAATGGATATTAATGTGATGATTTGATTTGATTTGATTTGATTTGGTATAACTTGTTAATTAATCAATGGCTTTTGCTTATTTTGTTTAAATGGATGGGAATGAGAATGCTTTCGTTTTCGTTTTTATTTTTATTTTAAATTTCTAACGATGAAATCTATGGATTCCCTTCCCCCTTTCGTTCTACTCTATACTCGAGTAATGATGGTGGGATGGTAGGACGGACCAGGAAAAAAAGATGGAATGAGACACAATACTGCTTGTTTTGAGGGGTCATAGAAATAAGTATCTCCATTGGCATGAGGAATCAATATATCATTCACATCGTGTGATGGAATATAGGAAAGATCATCGGATATGTATTGAGTCGTCCTGCCTGATCTCAAGAGTGTGTGTACAGTACAACCTTCAATAAACACAAGAAAGGAAGGACATTCAAGTCAGTCAAATCCATTCCAAGCAACGACGCAATAGATACACGCTCTTCACCTTAACGCCATACTATTACCAACCATTTTGTTTGTCTCATTTCATGTGCATCCTCATCCCACCTCACCCTCATCATCATCCTCATCATCCTCACTCTACCCCCTCATCTCCTTCAACAACCCCCTCCTCCAATCCCAATAATTCTTTCGAATTTTATCATACTTATACCCAAGTAACTCCAACGCCTTATCAGCCATCTCCCACTCCCTCCTCTCTCCCCAAGCATCCGCCAAAAAGTCTAGCGCGTGACTACTCCTTATATCCTCACCCTTCCCATCCGCGTCCCCCAGCTTAACAAAATCTCCCGCGAACCCCTCCATACTCTGCATCTTCACCCCCCCTTTCCTCACCACCCCCTTCAAATAATTCCACGAACTCTGATTCTGCGGCGCCTCATACGTTGCCGATTTCGCATACTCGATTTCCCTGTCCATGATGTCCTTTGGAATGTTCCCATCAAATTCATTTGCCCTCGTTCCCTTGGTCGCATATTTCGGGTCCGAAAATACCAGGAAAAATCGATAGGACCAGGCGCTATTGTTCCTCACGTCTCTTTTTATTAATTCCTCCACACTCCTTAGTTCCGTCTCATTAAACATATCCAATTTCATAACCAAATATTGTCTATAACTCCAAACGTGATAGTTTTTCGCATCTTCGTTAAACATCTGTGTTAGGAAACCTCGTTCCGAGTCTGCGAGCGCTTTGAGTGATGAAGGCGAGGAGGAAATGGAGGGGTAGAGATAATCGATTAGGAGTTGCCGATGATGCCATATCTGGTAATTTTTCTGATTTTCCAGCGCGATTTCATTGACGAATGCAAGTTCGTCGGGGACAGAAGAGGAGAGGGCGAAGAGAGTGGTGGCGCGGTAGAGCCAGACGGTGTAGTGGGCTGCGTTGAGGGTGATGATGTGTTCGGTGAGTTCGAGGACACGGGGCGAGTATTCTTTGCTTGCCATTACGGCGCGGAGATATCCCATTGCTAAATATTGTTAGTTTTGTAGAGGGGAGATGAGGGTGTAACGAACTTACCTTCTGCGTATTCATCTGTGTATGCGATTTGTGCTAAAGCACCCTCCCCATCATCTTGTGCTATTGGTAACACATCGTCCCAGATAGGGTTCTTCTCGTATATTCCCATCTTTCCTTTAGTGTCGCGAGTCAATCACTGAGTCCCTCACTTGTATATCAATATCCCCCTGAGGTTCTGTAACTCTCCAGATAAGATGCTCCTCTTCCGTAACTAGCTCTATAGAGGTGCTTTCTGCTTCGAGCTATGTTTGCGCAATAGACAATCTATGATATATAAAGCTGCCGACTGATCCCAGCTTCTGTTTTTCTCGTCTTTTCAATCTGCGGATGTGTTGTAACTCTTTCCTAGCTCTTACTTTCAACAAGGTTGTTGGAAATGGTGTGGATTGAGGGGTTCGCTTTAAAGGCGCCTAAGAAATCGATGTGAGTTAGACACACTTCTGCAAACTCAGGAATCGAAATGGAACTGGGAGATCTCAGTAATGGATCAAAACAACTTACAATATGGTCTTTGTTACGAGATCGGAAACGAAGACCCCCTTGAAAGGCTTCAGAAATATGAGATCGGCTAGCGTCAGCCTTGTGAGGGACAGCTACCAGGCTGAAGAAAGAATAATTAGACAATGTAAAGAACAATAAGAGCTGTTTCGAGCCTTTTGATGATCGTTCAAACAAATGTCTTTTTCATTATTGTCCGCCGGTCCGTCGTATTATAGAGTAACATATATTAACATAGTTTACAATGAAAAGAAGTAATTGCGCTGTCGCCAGCATTCTAATCTTCCACCCTCCAAAATTTCCAGGCTTCCCTATCACCACCCTGTCCATGAACTCCAACCAGTTCTTCAACCCCCTCTATACCCTCAGCGTTGAGAAACTTCTCTTGATCAATTTCGTCTCCACCGAAATCATCATTATCTCCATTCTTGATTACTGCGGGCCATAAAACACCCACCCCATCACAGCCCAATGTAGTATCAAATTTCTTGAAACCTTCCGTCTCTAATGTCTCCTCTAAGCGTGTCATTCTCTCTTGTGTAGTATCCGGCTTCAATAATGTAATAGAACATCCTCCCCCTCCGGCACCAGTAAGTTTGGTCCAGCCAATTCCTTCGTGATCGACAAGTTCCCGGATGCGTTCCAGGCGAGGATGAGATACTCCCAAAGCAACAAGAAGTCCGTGATTGACTGTCATTAATTCTCCCAAGCTTTCAACACACTTGAGATTTTCGCTATCATACTCTGGATCTGAGATCATGGCAGCCGCTGATTGACCGACCATATCAATAGCATTCAATATCGAATCTACAATAGCTGGATGTTTCCCTTTCAATAAAGCCACTTTTGCAACCTCAACGGCTGTAGATTTCGCTTGTTGTGTATCTACGAGAAGTAGAGGGAGCTCTGGGAAATTCCTTAGTGGCTTCACAGTAGGTCCGTCAGGGGTTTTCTGATAAATTACGGCCTTTCCTTGTGTTGAAACTGTATTATCCACCCCAGAAGGATTCCCGTGTATGCACATTTCTCCCACAAATGCCCAGCGATTGATTCTCTCGAGCTGTAAACTTGCCTCGTTGGAAGGTTGATCCGGATGCGGTCCGGATAATGTGCGAATCTGCAACAAGAGTGCGGAAGAAAGACATACAGATATTGAAGCACTACTACCGAGTCCTGCACCAATCGGGATTGTTGAGCGAAGTGTATATAAGCATCCGGGGAACGATTGGGAGCCAAGTGACATAAATATGTACAAGAACGATGAGGCAGAGCTTTGGTGTATCTTTCGTATGGCGGGTGATTCATCAGGGGAGATGTTCTCAAGAAATGGTTTCATCGCTGCGACCAGTTCTGGGTCTAGAGAGGTGACCTGATCGTAATAGTGCTTCTTCTTCGATGGGTGAGAGAAGGCGCTCCATGGCAGATCATCGATATTCCATGTGTGTGAGAGATTGATGTCGGGGAAACGAAGGGATATTGTTCGCTTAGATTTCGAGAGAGAGGTAACGAGGAGATATGATCGAAGAGAAATCGCGGCAGCAATCGCAGGCTATCTCTATCGTTAGATCTAAAATCGCACATCTAGAACAAGACACCCACCTTTCCATGCACGACCGCATGTTCTCCAAAGACAATAACCTTTCCAGGAGCCGATACCATGAATGGTGGCATCATAGGAGAAGACTGCTTCCTAGCCAGAGGAACCCTCCTTTTTTCATTACTCGAGCCATTGATACTCGTTTTCTCCATAGTCTCGCTGATTATATTAACTCGATTGTTCTCCGTCGAGGCATTGTCGCGCGCAGGCATCTGAAAAGTGGGTGAAGTCGAAGGACTCCGAGTACTATCAGATGTTGAAGGTGTAATTATGAAAACTGATTTTGTGGTGGTACTAGAACTTGATCGCGAATGTTGTTTTGTTTCGATAGGTTCACCAAAGAGCCTCTTTATATTTGTGCTTGTCATTGCACAGAATCAGTATCGTATGAAATGAAATAATATGAAATAAATGAGGTGAATGTAAATGAATGCTTTGTTTGAATTCGCACAGAGGCAATAAGGGAATTGATAGGTGTAAGATGATAATGAAGATCCGAAAGGTCCATTGTTGAACGAGACCAAGAACTTAGAACTTATTACTTGTACATACAGTAAAACATCTGGGGGAGTTATGCAGTGACAAGGGTTGTTGGTGTCGATTTTAACAGAGTAGGGTCACTAAAACGCTGCTGTCCAATAGGATGAATTACCCTAGAATTACAGAACGTTTCCCCTGAACAAAAGCAGAATACCTTGATCCATAATATTTAACCAATTACTCATCCAAACATCTCCTGATCTTTCTCTTTCTTATCCGTCTCCATTCAATTCATTCTTTCAAGTACCGGTACATCTTAATCTTGTAAACATTCAACATCTCATAAAATGGGAAATCGTTATGCTGGAAGCTGGATGGCTGTCACAGCATCTAACTTCACGGTTATCGGCAAAGGCAACACAGTGTTATACTGACCCTGTATCATGCACCTCGGAGTGGATTTGGTCATCGTGGCTACAACACATATTAGTATTCAAGTGTTTGTACTGGATACCTAGTAGTTGTATCAAGACTTATCACTTAAATATTAGACGTCCGAAACTGTTTAGCCCTTTTCTTTCATTTTTCAATCTCCTAACCTTAATCATGATTACGAGTTGAAGCCACCTGTATTAGATAGGTAGAGTCGAAAGAAAAAGATACACAGATATAGATTCCATCCTCCGTACCTTGAGTAGTTCTCTAGAAACGGTATGACATTATACTTCTTTCCACAGATAACTCGGTGGCACCTTCCTTATGAGATGATACGGTCGGTCTACCCATTTCGTCGATATTTTCCATCGATCCAGATAGTGTCCATGCTGGCATTTCAGTCAGACCTCTCTCCAATATCTAATATACATTGTCTCTTTTTCTCACAAGTTCATCATTTATACTCTACGGAATATCACAATGCCGCTGTCAAATATACAGAAACCCTCAACTGAGGGACCCACGAAAAAGGCTTCAACTGCAAAACTACGCAAAAGACCCCCTCCCAAAGACCGCGACGGAAATGGCGATATCACTAGAAGTGGGACGTCTATTGCATCACGCAAGCGTCGTTGCCCCAGAGTCACTCTGGCATCACTCCAAATGGACGACGAGGAGGATGATCCAAGCAGATTCACTACCAGCTTCGGTGCCAATTCCCATTCGCACAACACATGGGGCCTCCCCGTTTCTACCACCATTGTAGCCACGAAGCGCAAGCGTAGAACAGCTACCTTCCAGGATATACCAGGACTCGGTCGTAATCACGCAGGACGGAGTGCGGGTCTTTTCAATCATATCCCAAAACTTCGCAGTCTTGAAACCACGCCCGAACATGTGGACATAAATTGTCCAACTCGCTCTTGTTTCCTACGCTACTCTCTGGAGGTTCGTGAGCGGATCTATGGATACTTTCTTCGCTCCCCGAAATCTATCATCATGAACCATGATTGGACAACCGTCGAACGCTGCCCCGACTTCGTTATCAAGGAGATATTGTTTATCTGTAAGCAAATCACTGCCGAAGCTCTCACCTTCCTCTACAAAAACAACACTTTTCATGCACTCCTCCGGGAGAACAAATCATGGCTTCCTTTTTGGAGCATCTCTAGGATTCCATCTACCTATTTGAACCTGATTAGGAACGTGATCCTTGAGTGTCCAAAGGACAGCTGGAGTTTAGATTGGTATCACAAGGCTGCAAAAAGCATCGAAACTTTGGCAATGACGAAGCCAGTACTAGATACTTTCACTCTCGTGATGACGCCACAGCGAGTTGAATTGAGCTCTACGGCGTTGGGATTAGAGGCTGCTCCTATGACATTTGCCAATTTTCTCTGGAAAGATGGAGAGATATTGATTGCTATTATGAAACTGCACAGTAAGAAGTTGAGGGTTGTGGTGAAGAACGATGATGGAAGGAGAATTATTCTAGAGGTAGATGTTGGCGGTATTTATACGACATTGGATGATCAGGAGAGTTGGTTTGAGAAAGATAGGCTATACCAGCAAACAAGACTTGCTTTGAAGAAAAGGGTGGAAACGGAATTGGCGGCGATGAAAGACAGGTTGGAAGAGATCTTTAATGGTGAGAGAAAAGCTATTAAGATGGGATGGTGTAGGATAATGGGACTAGATGAAAGATTAGTCGGGGACAAAAGTCGACGATATAAAGGCGAGATGAGTGGTGGGTGGATGGCACCAGTTTGAGGTTAGCTCTGCATATTCTTCCTTGTGAGGAATAATCTAAACATTGAACGTCTTCTCTCGAGGGAGACTATTTGCCACCACGCAGTTGATAGAACTCGAGATTCCATCGAGTCGAGTACTCAACCATCTTCGAATGTCCACAAGAAAAGGGGATAACCATCATCTTTAATACGGGTTTGACGATGCATCCATGCTTTTATTTCGTGTCGTTCATCGCATCTCATCATACTGATCTCATCCACACGCCGATGATAGTCCATCAAGTATCATTTTCATAGAATAGTATATATACCAAGAAATTTCTCTTCAAGATATTCCTCATCAAGAAATTCTTCACTCAAAAAGTCATTTCGTGCCAAAAAAAAAACAAGTGGTAAGATTTCTATCGCTGGTGATCACTATCCTAAGACAGAAACACAATCCCCATTCCCCTCTGCCCATGACAAAGAAATAATGCTATGATCCCCCGAGCCATGAGACCACCTTCAATGCCTAGTCGTACTAATAACATGTTATAACCACACATTTATATGTGTATTTACCACCACCAGAACGCCTTTTCGATGACTTGATTCTATTAATCCTGTCATCCTCTACTATGCGAGAGCACCTCCCCCTGGTGGTCCCTTTGGTCCCTTATCCACGGGTTCACTTCCAGGAATTGGTGCCAGTATAGTAGCCATACCTTCGGGCACCTTGATGATACTTCCCGATGGAAGAATTGCCCTGCCCTCCAATTTCTCTCCTCTTACAACCTTAAACGCTTCATCTCTATCTAATGTTTCGTAGTCCATCAAGGCCTTGGCCAGGAGATCCAACTCGTTGCGCTTGGATTGTATGAGCTTGACAGCACGAAGACGAGCCTCCTCAATGACACGGCGAACTTCAGATTCGACAAGTAGTTTCGTTCCTGCAGAGAGTTGTTCATAGTTTGTCATCAAATCTACATTGCCGAGCTGAGGTGACATTCCAAATCTAGTTACCATGTTATACGCAAGACTCGTCGCGCTACTAAGATCCTATTTGGAAAGTTAGCAATGATTCTTCGCTTTTCTCAAGGCACATGGCGTCAGCAATAGCAGGGAGAAGACTTACGCTAGAAACACCACTAGTGACCCCCATAGGTCCATACTTAATTTCTTCTGCCACCTTACCTCCCATGCAGACATCGATCCTACTTTCATACTCATCCAAGGACATAGAGTATTTATCCATTGCGGGTAAGTGGAAAGTAATACCAAGAGCATTACCTCGAGGCATGATTGTAACCTTATGTAATGGATCTGTTCCAGGGGTAAACATAAGAACGAGGGCATGGCCTGCTTCATGATAAGCTGTCATCTCCTTTTCCTTCTGGGAAATAACCATGCTCCTTTTCTCGGCGCCCATCATTATCTTGTCCTTGGCCCATTCAAAATCCAACATGGATACTGCTTTCGCCTTTGCTCTACTAGCATGTACAGCAGCTTGATTGATGATATTTTCGAGTTCCGCTCCGGAAAACCCTGGTGTACCAGAAGCAAGTGTCTCGACGTTGACATCAGATGAAGCAATAATCTTTTGCATGTGATGCTTCAAGATCGCCAATCGGCCACGAACATCCGGTAGACCCACTACGATGTTTCGGTCAAATCGACCAGGTCGTGTAAGGGCCTTGTCCAGCAATTCAGGAAAATTGGTAGCAGCTAGGATGATAACGCCATTGTTCTGTGCAAATCCGTCCAGTTCAGTAAGTAATTGATTGAGAGTTTGTTTGGTATGCGCGGCATCCCGAGAATTTCGTTTCCCTCCTATAGCGTCGAGTTCGTCGATGAAGATAATGGCAGGTGATTTGCCTTTCGCGGAAGCGAAAAGCTCTCGTACTCGTTTCGCACCAACGCCGACATATATCTCGTCGAATTCACTACCAGACATGAAGAAGAATGGAACACCAGCCTCCCCGGCGACGGCACGAGCCAACAAAGTTTTACCAGTTCCAGGAGGTCCAACTAGCAGGACACCCTTTGGAAGTTTTCCGCCGAGAGTTGAAAACTTCTCCGGATTCTTCAAGAAATCCACGAGTTCTTGAAGTTCGTCCTTTGCTTCATCACAGCCATGCACATCAGTAAACCTAACGTTTTGGTGTTCAGCCTTGGCCTCATTATCGGTTTTGGCTCCTCCTGGCCTCGCCCTAACAAAGCTATTGAAGGTTTCAATCATTATAGAAACAACAACCAAACTGAAATAGGTGAAAAGTCCAAAGTAGAGGCCGAATTTAACCCATTTGAAGACGGCGCTGCCTGTACTCTCATCAACAATAACGTGCATAGGAGTGATTTTGTCGCCAGAGCCAGACGCTTGACCACGAGAAATAGCAATGTTACCACCCCGAGAATGAGCAGCAACTGCTTGACCGATAGCCTGCGTTTGCGCATTGCCGAGATTTCCTGATTGTCCGGAAGGAGTTACCATACCGCCGCCGTTCATTTGTCCTAGCATACCTAAAGCTCTGTGATATGCACTTTCACAGGTAGGGTTCGATGCGAAATGGCCGGTTTGATATCTGTCGGCGATGATTGCAGGCATATTTGCCTTCAAAAGCGCTTGATAGAAAGCATTCTGAGCTGTGGCACTCTTCGGGTTCTTGTTGGCAGTTTCTTCCAGATGAGAGAGTAGATTGTGTGACATACTGCCACCGAAAAGAGATCTTTGCTGGGTTTGAGAGAATTTGGTAACGGGTCGATGTGTCTGTGATCGCAAAGACGAAAACATAGACATTTGTCGACCATGCGCCATGGCCAAAATAGATGAAGCGGGAACCGTTAAGTTTGCAGTAGAGATAAGTTTGGGGACCGAGATGAAGGTGTTTCGAAGACTTAAGGACAATGAGTCAATGTGCGACCTTGCTGACGGCGCAGAGATCGATCTGGTCGAAAGCTGTGGTGGTGGCATTAGCGAATTCAGTTCAACGAGGGAAAGACGTTTTATTTCTACGAACCATTCGCGCCGATGACAAGGTCGTCTTCGCACAATTTATTTCTGGCACCTTTCGCACAAAGAGCCTCATAGGCGTAGCCATTTTAGACAAACCAAGAGATGGTGTTGCCATGACTGGCAGAACCAGATAGAGTAAGAAACCCCTCCTTCCAACCGCCACCGGTAAATATTATGAATATTCTGTCCAGACAACTTTAGTTGTCTGTATCGATATTGAGTCGACAAATTATAATAAATGAAGCTTTGTTGAACCTCGATGTCGAGGAAGTAATACTCGTTGATGCCAAAATGGACACAGAAGGCAAACTTATAAGTTGCAGTGCATCATGGCTGATACCGCAGCTTATTAATATTGATTGACTAACTATTTATGGCCTAGCTCATTACTGGCTCTGGATTGCCCCCCTCCCCCCCCTACCACGTGTTGAGTAATTCACTAGAGAGGATCGATCCGATAAATTAGGAGACAATTACTATTCTAATTTATTGAAAAGTGATTTTAAAGTTAATCTATATTTTCTTTAAATATTTTCGATAATATTATTTAGAGAAAAAGAAAGAAAATATAAATATATAAGCTTTTATTTTAATATTCTCTCTAATAATGAATTTATATCTATTTTAAAGTACTCGATAATTCGTATTATAGTTTAATAAGAAGTATTTATTAATACTTGAATCTATTTTAAAGATTTAACTTATAATATTATTTAGAAGATTTAATCTCTTTGAATTATTATAATACGAGAGAGACTAGTAGTAGAACTAGACTCAATATAATAATATTCAATAAAGAGTATAGAGATAATTACTAGAGAGCAACGACTATATAGTAAGTTATAGTATATCTAAGACTACTAAGCTAGCTAGAAACGAGGAGTAAACTCGTAATATAAGAAATAAGTATAATTAATAATACGAACTTGTTTTTAAACTAATAGTTTAAAGATTTATACTTTAGTTAATAATTTAAATCTTATAAAGTAAATTAATTAAATAAAAATAGAAATATATTAAACTAAATAAATTAATTATAAATTAGTAGTTTAATAATCAAACTAATAACTTCTTAATTTAAAAAAAACTAGATGATTTTACTAGTAATTTTTTAATAAAAAGATATATAATCTTTTATAGAAATTATATATAAAATTATATAATATTTTTATCAAAAATGAAGATTATTTAGTTTATTAGTTTGGATTTGTTAAATTAAACTAAACCGATTGCTAGTTTAGAATCAACAAATTAAACCAACTAATTGTTTAGTTGGATTTAATAAACTAAATCAACTAGTTGGATAGGTCAACTACTATCTACACTGATCACACCGGATTAAGGCCAGACGGAGGGTAGTGAACGAGCCTATAGTAGAAGTTACAGTCTTGAAAGTATAAATCTTCCAGTTGCATGATGTGTAAATATTTACCAGTTACCAGTTCGATTTCATATTCAAGTCTCAAACATTCAAAACATATGAATCAAACTCGGTTTTCTCTTCTGGAGTAAGTCTTAGCATCACTAGACAAAGAAAGTCTTTTCAAGATACAGGTCATATTATACTATATATTTAACTATTTACTAATACTATTGATACAAACAAGGTTTCCCTCCTTTCCAAATCGAATACAAAATTCCAAACCTAACCCCATATCCAATAACTAATAAACATTTAAATAAGTATTGATACAGATGGCAAGCCCGGCCTTGATCACCAGCCTCTAAACACAAGTGACATAGCACCGCTTCCTCATGTAGCAAGCAAATAGTATATAACATAAAAGAAATGGATTCGTGTGACTCGTGGCGCCATAATGCAGCCCTCTCATCATGATACCCTTCCTTAATCTTCCTCTCCATCCGGGACAATTATTAAATTTAGATTCAAATAAAGGAACGCTACTATAAAACAACAAGGGAATGAAAGCAGAACGAAAACTGCAAAAAATGTGACAAGCTAGCCACCCCATGCCGAGATGAAACGGCTGAATGATGTGCACTGGTAACAAAGGTATGGTCATCGTGGGATCGTAGCGGCTTGTCGATAGCTTGCGGACGAGATAAATTCGTGAATGTCGTGAATGTACTAGATATATCGCTGATAGACTCGGGAGAAGTGAAAGCTTTTGTTGATGAAATAGAACACACTGTAATTCTGTGCACCTCGGTCTTTGGGTATACGCCGTCAAATTAATGATACAATCGCTAAAAAGAAAGTTTTGAAACGAGCGTGTGTCGGTGTGACTGTTCAGTATTGTTATAAACTCTCAATGCGAGCACTGGGCATTTGTAACGATGGATCATCGAACGTCTCGAGCTTAGGCCATGGATCACTGAAGACAGTGACTTGAGGATACAATGGCACATGGCCGATGACCTCAGGTTGTTGATACGGAGTATTTTCATACCATTGGCCATGCTCCGGGGGTTGTGGGTATTGTTGTTGCAAATGATGCGGTACTTGTGCAATCGGTGACGGAATTGAATGGGGTTGTGGCAAATGCTGATGATGGTAATGAATCATTGGCTGGGTATCAGTTGGGGATTGACCGTGAAGGCCATAGGTAGGAACATGGACTGGGTGGTGGGTGTGCGTGTAGTATGACTCTTGGGAGACTGGGCTGCCGCGTGATTGAGAAGAGTAGCTACCAGGGCTGTTTTGCAACATCTCCTGGGGATGTCTCTCCATAGAATGTCGAGGGATGTGGTACGTCTGAATTGGAGTTGGGTTGGTGTTCAAAGTTGCAACACCAGGATTGTTCTGCTCCGGGACGTAGTAAGAGGCATGCTGCAGACTAGGCTGTCTTTGCATGATGTGATGATGCTGATCTGGAATGGGGCCATAAGATTGAACCCCTCCTGAAAGACTATGTCTGTGATTGTATCCTTGTGGCATTGGGTATCCATCATTTTGTTGATGCTGTCCAAAATCCGCGAATGAATGTGCTCGGTGCATCTGATGTCCATGAGGAACACCGGGTACTGTCAGGTGCTGCTGAGGCGGCCATTGAATTTGACTAGAGTGATGTCGAGGGGTGGTTGGTGACTCTCCGCTATCAGAATCGGATGTCTCGCCGTCATCAAGTTCCGATGAATGAATACCGCGTTGATGTGAACGTCGTTGATGCTTGACCATGGTCGTCTTTCTACAAAAGCTACCGCATGTTAGTACTGATTAAATGACGCTTTGACTGTGAGAACCAACCTCTTTAAGCAACCTTCATGTGCGCATTTGTAGGGTCTTTTGCCTGTGTGAATACGTCTATGGCGCGCAAGACTCGATGACTATATGATAAATTAGCAATGATCTCCACAAGTTACAATTACAATTCTTACGTCGGAAAATCTTTTGCCGCACCCAATGTGTTGACACTGATGAGGCTTTTCGCCGGTATGTGTTCGAATGTGCACGGTCAAGGCACTTCTTTGGATGAAGCTTTTCCCGCATCCTGGGGTTACGCATGAGTATGGTCTCTCATTGGTATGTATGCGATAATGACGCTGAAGGTCAGATTTCCTGTTAAAACTCTGTGATACACTGTCAGCTGACGTTGTATTCATTGTACCAGTAGATTCGTACCTTGCTGCATGTCTTCCAGTCGCATTGAAAAGGGCGTGCATTTTGCTCGTTCTCAACTAACTCCATGACGTCCATTATGTATTTCTGGAAGTATCCTGTCGAGGTCGATGTGTTAAGTCTCAGAAGTTATTTGGCAGGTTGTTTCCGAACTTGAGGGGGAATTTTGAGGGTTTTTGGTTAAATGATTGTCCGAGGATCTGAGATCTGAAAAGTACTTGATACACGGGTGATGTCGATAAGAGACTCGATGAGGGAATCGTGAGAAATAGCAAGCGTCCAGCGCAATAGCGTTGAGCGTTGAGCGTTGAGCGAATGTGACAAGTGGCGATCTAACTTAGAGATGGGCACTGAACAGAAAGTATTATAAAAGTTGATTCCACGGCGAGAAGGAAAGATACGAGAGATCTTGTAGACTATGTACAAGAATAACACGAAACTCGCGAGAATAACTGAGAAAGTCAGAGAAGTGAAGAATGTATGATTTGGGTGAATTATATCAAAATATGAGAGAAGGAAGAGGTCATATACATACTTCTTCGAGATGCGGGATGTGAGTGGAGCTTGTTGATCACTTCACCCAAACACGGAACGGTGGGGTGCTCGAGCAATTGGAGGGAAACTGGTAAAAGGGACTTTTAAAGTTGATGTTCCTGGGACCTGGATCTAGTTCTAGCTCATATCGTGCCGGACCATGCGAGTGGCTGGGCAGAAGATGTGAAGGTTCTAATTTCTCGGTAGGTAAACTTGACTAGTTGCTCAAAGGATAGGATAGTCTGCTTGTTTCGACGTCAAAGTGTCTTGGAAGTAGCGTGAATAATGTACGGTATTAAAGTTGCGAAACAAGGACCATTCTTGAAAGTAGAATCGTCGGGGATCCTAAAGGCGGCTCAGATGGTCGAGTCTACTTTTCTGGGGGAGTTGAAAAGGGATGATGGTTGTAGAAGTGACTTGTGGATACGGTTATTGCAAAATATGGACTGTCCAGTGGGAGTATGCTTGTTGATTCAAAGCTTTAACATAGAGATACTGGTAGCATTGCGCCTTTGATAAGATATGAGGTGCTATTAGGCCTTTTTATGACTCGTACCAGAGATATAGTAGTGAATAAATGGGATTCTTGTAAGTAAATACTCTTTTGTCTCCCTCGAAGCAGAAAGTATAAGGTGACGAGGGACCCCCGGCAGATATATTAAGCAGCAATAAGGTCGCTTCAATAAAGCAATAATGAATATGTAATAGGTAGGTATGTATAGAAAAGATGGATATAGAACCCGGAGACTAAGTATGATTTTCCCATCCGGATGAGAAAGATATCCTTGAGTTTTTAGGTGATCTCTCTTTCCCTCTCTCTCTCTC